ATGCTTTCATTAAGTGCAAAAATCCTTTAAGGTTTTCTGTGCAAAGTAATATTTGTGATTTTTTTGCTTTTGTTTGTTTGTTTGTTTGTTTGTTTGTTTATTTTTTTATTTATTTATATATTTATTTATTTATTTATGCTATTTCTGCTGCCGGTGGTGAAAGCCCTGGTCTTTCTGCTCTTCTGCAGAAACAGAAAGATCTTGCAAAGTTTGGCTGTTTTGGTTTTCCTTGCCACATTGGGTTGTTGTTCCTATTTCTACCGAGGATGAGAAAATCTGCAAAAATTAGCTGCATCCTTTGGAATCCCCTGCTTCTTTAAAAAAAAAGAAGTGAACATCTGATTCTACAGGGAGTATTGGTGGAAACAAAAGACTTATGAAGCATCATTTGTTTGTTTCCCATAATCCTAAAAAGTCCCTCTCTACAAGTTTCTTTCATCCTTATGGAAAGATAAGTGGACTCCCATATGTATTCTCGAAGGCTTTCACGGCCGGGATCTGATGGTTGTTGTGGGTTTTTCATGCTGTTTGGCCATGTTCTGAAGGTTGTTTTTCCTAACGTTTCGCCAGTCTCTGTGGCCGGCCTCTTCAGCATGCTGGATAGCTCAGTGGCTTAGGTCTTGGAGCCAGAGGTTGGGAGTTCAGATCCCGCCACAGGTCCTCCTTGTCAGGGGCCGGACTCAATGATCTGTATAGTCCCCCCCAGATCTGCAGTTCTAAGATGATGATGATGATGATGATGATGATGATATGATTATAAAACATCCCTGTTTTTTGCCATTGTTTTACCAATCTGAAGTACCAAAGAAATCATCTTTTGGTTTTATCATTTACATTTTTAATCAATATTTCCAAGGTTGCAGTATCAGAACTAGGCACTAGAGGGGGGCAGAGTGTTATTCCTTGCATTTTCCTGGAGTGCTACGACAACACAATGTGCTGATGCACAATAAGTTACTTTGCAGATTCACAGCAACTCGACTGATGATGGCAATGAGTTCCTTTTCAACCGGAGCCTCCGAGCTCAGAAAATTACTTCTAGGTTTTAGCGCGATGGTTTTAATGTGCTTAATGTTCAAAAGTTTAAATTTTTGCTCTTTGATTTTAAAGTGTTTTAATTACACTATTTTTTTAAAAAAAAACTGCTTCATACAATTTTGTTGCCTGCTCTAAGATCCTGGGATATAGGATGGGCTGTAAATGTTTAAATAAATAAAACAGAATAAAAATCCTCAGTTCCTCTGAGCAATAGCCAAGATACAATTTCATTACGGATGTAACTTAGTATAGGATGATAAAGGCTCTTTCTCATCGTACCTGCAACTTTTCAGTTGCAGGGTTAAGGCTCTGGACACAGTGGAGAAGAAATATCACACCAAACACGTGCTGGTTCATGAGGAGGATGGGAGAAGGAAGGGCTTGACCACAGGCTGCTGAGTCCTAGCATCCTACTTCTCCTAAAAACAAATGGCAGCATGACAGTAAAGCACCATTTTCACAGACTCATCAAATAATGGAGTTGGAAGGGGCTCATGAGGCCAATGGGTCCAACCCCCTGCTCAAGGTAGGAATCCCAACTCCAAGCAGATCTGAAAGACGGTGGTCCCATTTTCTTTTGAATGCCTTTAGCGCTCGAGTGCTCACCACCTCCTGAGGTCAGGGGTTCCCTTGTCGTACTGCTGTAACAGTTAAGAAGTTTTTCTTGATGTTCAGGCGAAATCTGGCTTCCTATAACTTGAGCCTGTGGTTGCATGTCCTGCACTCTGGGAAGATCGAAAACAGATCCTGCCCCTCCTCCAAGTTTTGGGAGAGCTGGTCTGCATTTCTGACCTTGATGCCATGCTCACTCCTCAACATTATGGTGCCGCTTTAAGCTTTATCGTCAAGAAAGCAGAGTGTATTACTGTGGGGGAAAAAATGCACAATTTGCTTAGACTTTTGAGCTTCCGCCCTGCTGAATTATCTGACAGGGTTGACCGAAGGATCGGCTTTGACTTTGACTTTACTCGCTTCTTTCTTTTGCTTCCCCTTCAGGCTTCGGCGTTACCAGTCTTTTCTGGGACCATCTGTTTCAGACGCTAATCCCTGAGGACACATTTCAGAAGACAAACTAGCACCTCCCGGCTGTTGGTCTCCGGTTGCTTCTTCTCCAGCTTTTTGCTGTCATCCGCGGGACTCTGCAGAACCGAAAAACTGGGAGGGATGTGTATGTTTGTGTGTGGGTCCTCTTGAAAGGATGCCCGCGCGCGCGCGAGAGAGAGAGGACCTTTGCTTTTGGGGGCTGCCTTACGGGGTGGGGTAAGGGGGAGGATATGTTTTGAGGCACCCCAGAAGATCAAGTCTGTGTCACTTCTAAGCACTATGTTCTATTGGACGTGAAGCATCGCATCCTGGGATACTGACACAGACGACATTCCTTCTTCATATTCCCGGTGCCTGGCCCATGACGTACAGTAGGGTGTGGTGAAAGGTTGCAGGCTGGAAGAGGGGATATTTACGTGGTTGCTGTGCAATGACCCACACACACACCTCCGCCGCACAACTTGACATGGCAGCCACCTGGTTGTCCTCACTGGGCAATGAGGAGAGAGGGATAATGGTGGTTGGGCAGATCAATTGGTTTCCCACGCTCAGATGTCTTTGAAGGACAGGTCCAGGGAACGGCCAGCTTTCCAATACCAGACATGATCTTCCTGACTCATCTAGAGAAAAGCTGGGTGAATTCTGGTTTTCGTGTGAGTATTGGCTACAAGCCATCAGAGCTGGAAGGCTTCTCGGAGGTCATGATGTCCAGGCAGAGGATCTTCTGCCAAACAGCCTCTAAACGATGCCCGTCCTTTGACTTTTCAAGAATGTGTTGTGGGAATGAGAGTGGAGTTCGAAGGGAGCAGGTAGACCAAGTCCAGTGCAAAGCCGAGGAAAGGTAAAGGACTCGCCATGGGTTGCAAGCCGCTATTTGGGAAAAGCAGAGGTGGGGGGAAAAATCAGAAGGAAGGCATCTCGCCATCTCAGGAGGCAGAAAGACATGCGAGCCTTGTCGCTGAGCAGACCAATTGATGTGATGCCAAAATATTAATTGCAGAAACACTCTTCTGCTTCAGTGTGGGTATACGTGAAAGGATGCTTAGGAAGAAATGCTTGGGGGCCTCTGTGGGCTTCAGTTCTGTCTTCTTGTATCTGTCACCATCCATTCATCGGCAAAACTACATCGCTGTGTTCGCAAACTCCGCGATGAACAGTCTTATTAGATGTGTTCCTCCTCCTCTTCTGGTTCTGGGGAGGCAGCCTGTTTTGGTACGTGCCTTAAACACTGTGTTAGGGAGATTGTCAATGATCTCTGGTTAATATTCATAAAAATGCACACATATTATTGGAAACGGTTTGTTGTCAGGATGCTTCCGGGCAACAATTGCAAAAGAAACCCACAAGAGCACTTGTCGCATAATTCTGCTATTTGCCATTTTAATGGTACTCATTGGGCTGCTATTTATTGCAAGGATGCAAGGCTGGAAACCATTTATTATTATTATTATTATTATTTTTGCTATTTATTGCAAGGATGCAAGGATGGAAACCATTTATTATTATTATTATTTATTTTTTTTTAAAGAAGAGTTCATCAGAACTCTCTTTTCTCCAGCGGTTCACTTATGCACTTAGATCTGTCCTGAACGGAGGGCGTCTGATCCTGCCACCTCAGCCCAGGCAAATGCAGCGTGTCTCGCAGGAAGGCTCCTCCTCCAAGGCCCAGCTGCCTGTGAAGCTCAGACCTGGCTGGGTAGCCCTGGCCTCATCCTGCCACCACTCCTCTCCTCTAATACTTCCTTGCCAGGGAAGGCTGGAAGAAGCTTCTCGGGTTGCGCCTGATTGCGCTGCTGGTTCGCTGTTGGGTTGCCCGTGACTCCGGGAGCCAGAAGGTTGTGACGGCAGAGGAGAGGGGTGCAGAAAGCCGTCCGTGGAAGGGCGCAGAGGGAGGATGTGGCATTCTGGAGAACATCCTTCCCTTTCTCCTCATGCCCTCCTCCTCATGCTGGAAGAGAGACACCTTCCCCTTGTGGCTTCTCTGGAAGAGGCACCCTCAGCCAGCCAGCCGCCTCCGAAAGGCTTCTTCCCTCCTCCCTAAGGTGCCTGCGACATTCTGCTCCCACTCGCCCTTGTGAAAGTGAAATGTGCCAAATGCAATCTTTTTGTGCTTTGCCACTGATAAACAGGCAGGATAGCCACCACTGCTTGATAGATGATGTGTCAAACTCCCCCCCCCCTTCTTTTCTCTGGGGCTGCATTGAGATGCACAAAGGCCGGAGAGAGTCGTTCCGGAGCCGTGCCTGAACTTCTCTAGGGTTAGCATGTAGGGGCAGCTCCAGAGTTCCTAGGGGAGAATTACTCTTCCTTGCCGTGGCCTTGGCAGCAGATCGCCCTCGTTAACAAATTGCTCATTGCGTTCCCAGGTGGGTACCAGGAACGCAACCAGCAGCTCATCAATTAATGAGCAACGTGATCAGGCACACAGCCAGCACCCTGTCAATGATGGCAATTTGCTGCCAAGACAGACATTGTTTCCCTTACACAAGTGTAAATCACCAGTAAGCTTTTAGCCATGGTTTCCAGGAGGTGCTAACGCTGCTCCCTCTTTGCTTTTATTGCGGCCTGTTGCTACGCGCCCCGGATTTTGTGTATCTCGCTATAAAACCGTTGGCATATCGCGGTGTTCACGACCCACCTCCAAAAGAATTAAGGGTTTACGGTTCAACAGATCTCTGGAGTAGGGAGGGTTAAGGTGCAAATGTGAAGTATATCATCAGCCCATTCCAAAGCAGGGAGGTTTAACTATCCTCCTTCTCAGGAATTGTTTTACATCTTCTATAAGCCGCCTTTACTGATGGCCGCCCCAGTGGACCTGATGGCTGTCCCCCACACCCACCAAAATCCTAGTCCCATGGCATTATAAAAACCCTACAGATGCCTCCCCCTAAGCTTCTTCCACCGCCAGCCCCAGAAAGGGGGCCAACCATACACCCTTTAGCATCAATGGGCCAGGACGTTTTGCATGAGCAGAACCAGGAGTTACAACGAGCTGGCAGTTAGGGCTGGAAGCAGATGAGTGTTGGAGAGACACGGTTCAGCCAGATATTTGCATTTGAGAACTCCATCTTCAAAGGAGTCCAGGCTAAAAAGCCGGAAACCGACCACCAAATAGAGCAAGATTTGCAGCCGTGGGAGGCAAGCAAAGTCTCAGCAGTTAAGGAATCTCATCTTCTAATGAGGGATTGTTGTTACCGTTTTTTTTCAAGATCAGCTCTAACCTTGACTCCCCAACCCCATCAAAATCTTTTCTCTTGGGGGGTTTTGTGACTCTTGTGAAGATGCCCCCCACTGAGTTTTTGGTTCATTTCTCTCCCCATCTCCTAAGGTTTGCTTCATACATAATGTTAGAACAAGAACAACAGGGGTGAAATTATCGAAAGCTTTAGACATGACATAATTGTATATAACTGTATATATTTTGAAATATATATATATAGGTATACAGTATATATATATATATAAATAAATAAAGCTGTCATTTGAAACCTGTGTATCTAGAATTGGGACTTTATTGCAGGAAGCAGCAAAGCAAATGTGTCACTGTGCAATGGGAATCAGTTGCAGTCTTCAAGGACACACTCATTTGGGAAACATTGCAGTAGTCCAGACTTTGAGCATGTATTGTAGCACCTCTTCCTTAGGGGAAGGAAAAGCTGGTGCACTAAACATGGGAAAGGGTGAAGGCAAAAGGGT